TCTCTTCTGCTCACGATCCAAAGTTTACGTTTAATTTTGTCTAAAGTCAAAAAATATCAGAGAATTTATTTTGTTTTAAAACGGGAAACAATTGTTTTTATTTAACAGAAAATTATCCAGTTTTGTAATGAAAGTTATTTAAAGCTTTCAGGGATTTTAAAAAGATTTATTTGTATATTTTGTTGTTTTCTGCTGATATTTATTTGTAACTCTTTGATTGACAGGTGACATGATTATTTTCATATTTATACAGGAAGTGGAAGTTTGTGGGTGTGTTCAGAACGAGTGTACAGTATTTTTTTATTGTAATTAAAATCAGATTAATATTCTCGCCAGGGGGCGGAGCCTCTGATTTCTTCTTCTGGTCAAACGGATGAAATTATTTTGTTCTACTTTGATATAAATTAATTATTTTCACGAGAGCTCCAACTTCCTGTACTTTAAAAACAACCTGGACGTCACAGTCAACGTCTTACCTGCAGCAGCAGCTGAAGCACTTCCTTCAGAGTTTAAGGGAAATGACGTAAAAACATCAAAGTGTTTTCATGAACTGCGTTCAGTCCTTTGATCTGCCTCGCTCATCTGCAGCAGGTAAGATACTACCGGCTCAGAACTTTTGCACACAGACCTACTTCAGAACGTCCGAACTGTCCCTTTAAAGTAGCACCAGCAGCTTACCGGCCTCGAGACCTTTTATTGATCAGAACCTCAGAGGTTCTACAGGATGAAGCATCCGGGTCGGGCTCAGAAACTTCTCAAACATCTTTAATGTGAACTTTGGGTCCTGGATCATCAGAACCAACATCACTGCAAAGGTTTTGATCCAGAACTCGTGTTTTTATACATTGAGTGAAAACTCCTCTGGACCAAGAGGACCGGATCAGAACCTTTGCACAGAACGGGCCCAACAACTGCTGTTAGAAAAATAAATAATCAGAACCGAAGTGTCCGTCACATCTATGGGTTTCTGTTCTGTCCCACGAGAGCTGATCCAGAACCCTCCATGGACCCACAGTGTTCTAGGACGAGGCGGGGGTGGAGGGGGGTCCAAAGTTCAGGTCTCGGCTCATCAGGTTCTCCTCCACGTTCTCCAGAGCCCACTTGTGGTTCACAACCTCCAGCGCCTCCCACTCGCTCTGAAAACAAACAAACAAACAAAGATAAACAATTTGTCGGGTTCTGTTTTTACTGACTGACCCGGTTCTGGTGTCGGACCTTGAAGGCTTTGTTTGGGTCGGGGGGCATCGCCATGGCAGCGCCGGTCATCTGGTCCTGCATGACCCGGGACTGGTCGGCAGCTGGACTCAAACACAGAACACAAATGGACCGGGCCTCGGTCAGAACCAGCCTGGGTTCATCAGATGGACGTCAACTGGTTCTGATCCAAAGGCCCGGTCCGTGCAAACCGGGCTTCACTCGTTAATAAAACTGAACAGTGTTCAGGGTTTGAGTCTCGGTACTGTCTCAGAACCAGAACCAGGTCCAACTCACCGTTGTCCTGACCCAGGATCAGCCCGTACATGCTCCGGAGTCCAAACACGTTCAGGAAGTACCAGGAGGCGGAGCTTACCCTGCACACAGGAAACACAGGACAAGGTTCTGTTCACAGCAGAACCCGCTCCAAACACCAGAACTACTTCCTCCTCCAGCAGGAAGCTGATCTGGAATCAGAGCCAGACTCTTATTTTGAAACTCCAGGTTTGAATCACTTCCTGTTTAAATCGTTCTGCAAGTTCTGTTCAGAACCAAAACGCTCCGGTTCTACAGGTTCTGTTGATGGAAGAACAGAACCTCCATTTGATTAAATCTGTCATGTCACTTCCTGCTTCTGGATGTCACTGGTTGCCATGGTGACCAGGACGCAGCAACACTTCAGGCAGAACCGCAGAGTAAAAAGTAAGCCTCAGACAAAGAGTCTGCGTGAAAACTGGAAGTCGGCTCAAAGAACTTGAAGGTTCTGATGGTACCGCCGGTTCTGTTTGATGGTTCTACAGAGTTTATGGAAACAGAACCTTGACTTCCTGTTTGGAAGCTCAGACACGATGGAGGTCAACGGGAGTCTGACCTCTGACAGGACACAGTCCTGCAGCAGAGACACTGAGGGGACGAAGACAGAGAGACGACTGGAGGACAGACTGAAGACAGAGACAATCTGAGGAGACGGAGACAGAAGACAGGAGGACAGACTGGAGGAGAGGACGATTGTAAGTTTTGTCGTTGTCCGTACTGACACAGCTGTGAAAAGTGTCCAACCTGAAGTGTCTCTTTCTGCTTCTCTGTGGACATTTTTCAGTTTTTGTGAGTTTTGTCTCCGTCCTTCGAAGTTCTGTCCCCGAGCTTCTCGCTCTGTCCTTCAGGTTCTTACCAGGAGGCGTCGAGCGTCAGCAGGTCGACTCCTCGCTGCAGCATCGGCTTGAACCTCAGAGTCAGAGGAAACGGAACCTTCGCTGGAGACAAACAGGAAGTTTCAGTTTGGACAACAGGAAGTTTCAGTTTGGACAACAGGAAGTTTCAGTTTGGACAACAGGAAGTTTCAGTTTGGACAACAGGAAGACGCAGACGTTATTGACAAACAAACAAACAAAACCGGCCTTGACCTGGCTGTGACCTTGACCTGTGACCTTGGTGCGTCTAGTGAAGATGAAGACGTGTTTCAAGTTTTATTAAATATTCTGGAGCGGACCAGAAGTTCTGGTCCAGAATACCTTTCTGAACCAGGACCACTCCGGTCCAGAACCGAACGCCTCCAGAGACGTTTTGAAACTGGACCTCTGGCAGACAGAACCGACGAGGTCCAGTTGAGTCGCTTTGCCTGGAAGCTTCCCCAACAAACAGGGAGCTTCTGAGACGGATCAGAACCACCTGCAGGTGATCAGAACCACCTGCAGGTGAACAGACTCACCTGCAGGACGGAAAATAATCACGTAACAAAATGAACTCGTGGTTTTCACTGCAAGTCGTTAAATGAAGCCGTGTTTGTTCTGGGCCGGTGTCGTGCTGAAGCCCGTTCCCTGAGCAGCGGGCGTCCGGCCTTCAGGCTGCGACTGATCAAATGCACAGACGACACAAATCTAGAAATCTGTCGGTTCTAAACAAACGAGACGATTTCAAAGATCGGCGGGGAAACAAAACTCCGCACAACACCAGTGTCAGGAGCTAACGGTGCAGCTGAGGTAAACGGACTGCACCTATACAGCTCCGTTTTATCTTATTTCAAGACACTCAGAGCTCTTTACAACAATCTGTGCCTCATTGACCCGTTCATACAGCTCTATACTAGATCTGTACAAAGATAATGGAACAAATCATTCTAGAGAGACTAATCAGAGCTTTAGATCACATGATGGGACACACATCAGAGGCAACGAGGGGTTCAGTGTCTTGCCCAGGGACACTTCAGCATGTGACTGCTGGTGGATTCAAACCCCCAACTCTTGCATTGGAGGACAACTGCTCTAACCACTGAGCCACAGCCGCCCCTCGTACTGAGTCCACCCGTCAAACGGGGTCCAGCAGTTCGTGCAGGTCCGAGATACTGACTGATGACGAATCCAGAGAAGGCCCAGTTGATCCAGCCCCCGATCAGAACCATGGGCAGCATGTTGGTCAGGTTCCCCTTCATCATGTCCGTCAGCATGCTGGGGTCTGAAACAGCAGCAGGACGAAGGTCACACTCCTCCTCCTCCTCAAAGTCAGAGCAGGAGCTTTTATTCTGAAAGGAGCCGGAGCTCGGATCGGGTCTCACCTGTCATGGGGTTCTTGGGGACCACCTTCCTCTTGACGGTCTTGAAGAATCCGGTTTCTGCGTTGTTGAAGAAATGTTTCCTCATGTTGAA